AACCCCATATTCATTGGTTTTAAGTATTATTTTTGATTGATAAACAGGAAAAAATATTAGACACAATTAACTGTGAAAGCTGGCAGACATTTCCATGTTGTCAATTCATTTGTCTGTATAGTAGCTCTGATTTTGATCTACCTATTTTTATCCTCACTTTTGGTCTGAAAAAGAGCACGTTTAACATTTGTGGCAATCCATCCAACACAAGTGTTTTTTTTAAAGCAGCCATAAACTACTTCTTTATATTAAGCAAAGATGAATTGTACATATCCTGAGCATTCACTGTTGAATAATAACTTAGTAGCATCCCTAAGCCCTCACTTTCACAACGAGCAGGTAGGAAATGAAAAATTGTCCCATCAGATAAAGACTAATTATATTACATTTGGCACACAAGTTTTTCAAGAGAACTTATTCTCTGTGACATAAGCCCCCTCTCACTTTTGTGATAGGAAAATGGGAAGTTGCTTTATACATGTCACTTTAATTATCTTATCTACCCCATACTGGCTACTCTGGCTGACTTTATCATTTCAAGGACTGGGCAGCAGCATCTGCTATCTGTTAATTTTAGACTAACAGTGCCAAGAGCTGTATGTGTGTATGGGGGCATCTTTTGAATGCTACTGTCTGCTACTGTCCATCACCTGCTAAGCAATTTTAAAGGGCAATTTCAGAAGAACAGCCGAGAAAACTTGACATGTGATACGTAAAATTAGGCTCAAAGATAAAATTAACTTTAAAAAAAAATCTGTCCACTTATTTATACATTTGCATAGTTGCATGTATGAAGGCATCAAAATGACAGGAGATATTGGAATTTTTGTTAAATCTTCAAGGTGTAGAAAAATATCTCCCATAGTAATTACTGTCTAGCAGCCATGTTGTGTACCATTTTTTAAGAAGATAGGAAAGCAATACAAACAAGTAATTTCTCTTTTAAAGTTTCTTGGGGCAAAATGTAACATTTTAAAACCACTGACGTACTGGATTATTAAATTAAAATTCTAGAATTCAAACAGATTGGCCAGCTGTTAACATCACTGTTTCATATACTCAAATATTCCTTATGCTCTTTCTCATGGTAGAAGGAAAGTAGCTTGGAAAGTAGATTGGAGTGCACCTCACCTTTATAGGTTAAGAGATCAATTACATTCCATTTTCTGTAATGCCACTACTTTTTTTTTCTATTCTACATTCTCAAAAGCAGTGAAAGTTACAATATAAGGTGAAAATGAATGCTGCATATAAGCCACTCAAATTCTTAAATAGTTGAAACAAAATAAACAGTAAAACAATGCAAACACAGTCATGCATATTGATCTTTAGGCACTGAAATAATCTTGGTTGGATTCTGTGAGATTAAAAATAGATAGGTTAGCATGATACAACATGATATGGTGGACTAAAGTGCTTTGTTAAAATATAAGGGAGAAAAGCTGCTTAGAGATCTAAGGTGAATTGAAAGTAATAGCATTGATATTGTAGTTAATCAAGAAGTCCTTAAAACACCAATAACCCAAAACTGACAATACTGAATTCTATGCATTTCCATTGAAAGAAACCTTCTATGTGCTAATGAATAGCCTTTGGGAAAGGAATCCAAAGATATATATATAAAATAACATATTCACATTTTTTTTCGGAAAAAGAGCAATAGCTTTGGACTTTTTAACATACTTTCTCTTGGTTCAGAGAAGATACCAAGACAGCTGGTTTTATAGGCAGGCATCTTCTCTTCTGCCCTATCTCAACATAAATCAGGGCCAAGCAAAGATATAAGCTTATATGATCAAATCAATCATGAAAGCTATTATTTGGGGCAGTGATTGGACTTTTCTCCGTCCCACTATAGAATGATTTTCCATAATAAAAACTTCACAAAATTAAAAACTGGTTTTTGAAAATATTTTAATTTAAAAAATGGGGTAACTTTTGGCAATCAAAACAACCTGGTGATATTCTGCAGCAATATTTATTATGCTTTATTATAATTTAAATTATATATCTTCTGCATGGATTGGTTGGACAAATACTTTTAGAATCTTAAGGGAGGTAAAATACCTAAAACAAAGTAAGTCGTATAAATGCAAATTCTAATCCTATTCATACATCATATTCAATTTACTGTATCTACATTTCAGGATACAATTTCTTCAATAAACTGGGGCTATTCATGATGGACTAAACAAACATCCTTTATACCACATAAGCTATCATTCTTTCAGTCTTTTTGGATAAGCATTTCTATCAAAGAATGTTATCATCAAGAACATGTAACTTTACAACCATCTTACAAAATTTACTTCAGAACCTGTTAAGGTTGTCTGAATTAAATAATTTTGTCAATAATTGGCTAGCTAGCTTGCTGTGCTATATTGAAAGCATTAGTGAGCCAATGTGGATGACAAGAGTATGTTCACAGCATTAAAATTGGATCATTTTGAAGAAGAAAGCATTTGTTTCTAAAAGACAACACAAAAATATATTCAGAAGATAACTTCAAGTTAATCTTTTGAACAGTATATTTTGTTTTGAGTGGGAGTATTCTCATCCCTACTGCTCCTCCTTTCCGGGTGCAGGTTTAAAAAAAACCTATGAGCTTATTCTTTTGTGCTTTGGAGAAACAGGTTGTTATCAGCTATCGGACTCTACAGCAGAAATTCCAGCACCTGCATTGCATTACAGGAGTGTGGCAAGAAGAAAAACTTCACATAATGGTGGAAAAAATAGCTATAGCAATGGAGCTGTAACAGCTGCCATAAATATGCTGATATCTGGCCTTATTTATTAACAAGAAAGTTTTAATAAAGTGCGCAAGTTCTAATTTTATAGCCCAACAAGACAAGTTAAGTAATTTGGGTTGGTGTGTGTGTGTGTGTGTGTGTGTATGATTTCAATCTGTTGCACATCAGAACAATTGGAATATATAAGTTTTGGAATAGGTTATTTTTGAAGGAACAATGCCAGATTAGATTTTTAGAACACAATTAACATATTTCAATTTGACATTAACTGCATGATGCAGACGCTATGGGTACTGAGCCCTTTGGACATCTTCACTAGGGAATCCTGTTTTCAGTAAAATTCTGTAATGCATATACAAAAGCTCAGCTACCTATACTCATGACTATTAGAATAGTATGAGAAGCCAGGTTAATTCTTTCCCCTAAGAAAAAGTGATGGGTTTACATCAGCCTGTGTAAAACTGTGGCATATAGATCTTGAGTAGGAAGTCTTCCTTTTGTATCAGAACTAGAGTGGTAACGCTTGCCTTCTTACATTGATTTGTACCAGGTGACACCTAAGAACCATAAGAAAGGCAGAATACAGTACCTGAATAATGGAAGGCAAGAATAGGAAGACATATTGCTACAAAATGCTCTGGCTGCCAAATAGTAGGCTGTATTCAAGCAGGTGGCTTGAAAACCCATGAAAACCACTCAGCATGCACTGTATATTTATTAACAGAAAAATACCTCTTGCAGGCACTGGGTAGGAAGGCACAGCCATAAAGATCAATGGCAAGGGCAAGAAACACAACAATGAAACATGACAATTAAACTGAGTCCTAGACATGAACTTAGCCTATAATGCCCAACATAAGAGAAAGCTCAATGGATGTAACATCACTGGCTAGACAACAGGCCACACAATTCCTTCTTCCAGATCCACCTCAGTTCATTCTAGGGGAGCATTCAGGTTACACAGCACCCATGAAATTAAGCAGCACCCACATGGTTGGTGTACACTCAAGCTATGCCATTAGACTTACTAGTCTCACAAAGGACTATTAAAACAGAAGTCAGTAAATTCTGTGGGTTGCAATCAGCATGATTTAAAGGCTGGAGAATGCTTTCTAGTAAAGCTCAGGTAGTTGTTTAAGTAGGAGGCTCCTGTGGGTTTCCCTGCAGGGATAGGTGTCAGTTTGCCAGAAAACTATCACTGTGAATTGTCTAGCAAATCTATTCTCTCACAATTCTGAATTGAGCCAAATTGAAATGATTAGCTCTGCTACTTCGAGGCATTTTATCTTGCAGCAGTTTCACCTACTGCCTTGGAAACTGAAGGGAAGGGGCACTGTCAGAAGTCCTAGCTCCATAGGAGCACTGTGAACAAAAATATAGCACCTGAATAAGTAATATTTCATTGATGGAAACACTGGTGAGCCAGACAGTCATCTGGGTTTCCATTTTTGTATGCTGCAAAATATTGGTGGGTTTTACAGATCAGTCAGCACATTATGCCTAAAGTCCAGTTAAAACAAATATTCTAACAATCTGAAATTAAAGTCTGAATAAACCATGAGCTATAAAGCAGCACGTCACAGCTAAGGCACATGAATGCATGCACACCACCATATCTCCATTAAGACACTGCTTTCTCCTAACGGATATCCTTTGTAAGATAGAAAAATTTCTACCTAGAGGATTAATTAGCAGTTTCCCATATAGGTATTACTCAGCACTACGCCTCCTGTCAAACCCAAAAAATATGTTGCACATTTATGCTTTAGCAAAAAATATAATATGTTTATATACACACATCTATTTCATAGAGCTTGGTCTGAGCGCATGAGGCAGAACTTTAAAAACATACAGGATTCCATTTAGAACTCCAAAGTTCAACAAATGCCCTATTTTAGGGTGAAAATTATAAATCTGATAATGATGCACAGCATCCATGAGTGATTTTTTTTTCTTAATTTTGAAATAGTGTCATTAACTACGACATATTGTAGGTTTACATTTCTAAAGAGAAATAACAGCAGTATTGAATAGTTTCTTTTCATATCACAAGTGATAACCTGCATTTGATCTTTTTTTCTTCCAAGAAATATCAGTCTATCAACAGTTTTAAAATAAAATGTTTTCTGTAGCAATTAATAGAACTCTAAACAAAAATATGACTCTGATTTAGACACTTTCAAGAAGATCTAGACATTTTTGTCAAGGTCTTCTGACAAAGTAATTTTTAAAACAGAGACCAGATGAGGCCTTAAAAATAGACAATATACTATATTTCAGACAACATTGCACTTAGATGTTCAAAGTAATAATATCTTTAACTGCAACAATACTTCATAATTTCTTTTTTTACTTAACATGCTGACAGGTTCTAGCTAACCCACGTGAACTTTTATTTTCTAGTTAAAATGAAAGTAAAGTCTGATGTCATATTCAGCATAAGATACTTTTTTTCTCTCCCAAATTATTGTCAATAAATTACAAAAAGCTTTTCTGATAGTGATCTTTGTCTTCGTGAGGATTAAGTAACTTGTCAGAACTTGAAGTGTTCCTATTAATTTAAAAAATACACCACAGTTATGGTTTCTTAATGGGTTGCTATGTTTGCCATTGGACCCTATGCAAGTTATACCTCCAAACTCTTCCTCTGTTAACATAAAGTGGTCCTCTCTGAGCTTTAAGGACCTCTCATTGAAGACAGATATAAAAAAGAGCCCCAAATGGAGTTGTCTTCTGTTGAATCTGCCTTTCTGCTATATGTCAGGGGTCTGGTAGATCCGAAGTATCCACTATGACTTTAATAAAAATAGTATCATCTTTAATATATGTTCCATTTTCTAGAACAGTTTGTGCAACAAAGACTGGGCAACCAGATGCAATATTCATTTCCCCAGTGGGTTTCTTGAAACTACTGCTGTTGGGGTCTGGCTTGAATGCATCTCCTAAGTGGCGCCGAGAAGGTCCTTGATCCATCAACATAAGGGTGACCTTTTGCTTGAATGGCCAAGGAAGCAATGCATCATATTCTCCCCGCATTATAACAAAGAACAAAGACAAATGTGTCCCTTTGCCCATCCCATCTCCATTGAGGTAAACCCTGGCACACATCTTATAGCCAAAGTATCCTGTATAAAATGGTTGGCTATATAAGGACAAAGTCTTCCCCATAACAGCCTCTTGCTTTCGACGTTTATAATCTCGAATTTTCCAGATTAATACTCCATTGTAACTTGCTGTTTCCAGGACTTGAAATCGGAGATCCATGTCAGCCAGACGGATGTCATGAACGCTTAACATTTGATCATGCCTAGATAACTGTGATTCTAGAAGACCTAGAAAGAAAACAAGGGGCTTCTTTAAACCTTAAAAAATAATAAAAGGAGATTTTCCATTATGCTGCACTTCTTTCTTCATTTACACCAGGTCTGTCAAATTCTCAGCCTGTGGGGTTGATGCATCACGTTGGCCACCCCACCCCCAGTTTAATGAAGGGAAAAATGTCCCAATACGTCAAATGACACAGCTGTGACGACGTGAGTTTGACACCCCTGATTTACACCCACTCTTTATTTAGTAACTGAGTTTGTTCCAACAACTAGGTCTTTCAGAAATATGATCATTAAGTGAACATGTGAGCCTTGTTGCAAAGATCACTGGTTGGCTCCATATCATTCAGATAAAGATCTCTTGTACAGCTATACCAGTGTTATTATCATTCCAGCAGGCATAATCAGATGGACAAAATTTGGTCATCAGTGCATGTATTGGTTGCAAAATTATTATTTTATTACACCATATTTGGGACTGGTAGCTGACAAAGGTAGTTGCTTAACAATGAGTGGCTATAAAGTACTCAAGAATTCAGTGGGAAGAATACCCAAACTTGATGGATCTTAGCAAAAGGTGTTTCCATAGTATAAAACATGCAAAAAGCTTAGGGTGAAATTAGTGAAAACACCTTCAAATTAATACTTAGGTCTCATAAAAACCAGACTTCAGAAATAATTTTGTGAATCAGTTACACATCTGTAAAACCATACAAATAAAAGCCTTCCTTCCTGCAATGTGACTAAGTAATGAATATTTATGTACTTATACTTTTTATTTCAATTTATTTGGCCACCCATCCCGAATGAATGATTCTAGGCACCTAACAGCATTTAAACATATCATCGAACAAGATAACAATTATATATATTGAATAGTAAGCTGCCCAGAGTCATTGACTGAGATGGCCATAGAAATTGAATTAAATAAGTAATCAGCAACTGAAGTAAAACACCAAAAGAACCAGCAAACAAATCAATGCCACATCTGGATGGAATGGGACAACTTGCTGCAGCCAACTTGCTGCGGTTTACTAGCCACAGCCCACTCACTGTGGCCAACTTGCCACAGGACAACTCATGTGGGACAATTTAACAATTCAAATTATTTAAAATAATTAGAAAATATTCTAATTTTGTCATTCACATTTTATTCTGTCCTTTGTTTGCATTCTTTCTTTAATGATTCTATTCCACCATTTCTTTGATATTAGTCCTGCAGTGAGTTGGCCATGGTGAGTTATCCTGTGCGAGTATGCTGTGGTGAGTTGGAGGTGGAAAGTTAGCTGTGGCGAGTTGGCCATGTTGAATTGTCATATACCCCATCTGGATCTCCAAGCTCAGTGACACAACCATGTCTTTAAGGTCTTGTTGCAGGCCAGCAGGGTACAGGCAAATCTAGTCTCTGGAGGAAAGATGCACCAATGGGTAAAATGCAAGTCTGTATATGTGGGGAAGATATGTGTGCAGTTATATTTTCACACATATGTAGAAAGTAAAATAATATTTTCTGGGGTTTAAATGTTCTATTATTCTAGTTGAATGTTTTTTTTAATATTATTGGAGGCTTTAATCTTTCTTAGAATTCTCCTCAGTAAATCAATTCTCCATGCTTACTGTACAAGAGTCACTTTCCTCTCTTTGGGATGGAAGCTTATGAAATGTCAATCACAAGAAGAATCAAGGCGAATCCTACCTGAACTTTAAGCTCTGAATGACTATAGTACTGCTCTGTAATGAATGAAGAGTAATTCACGATGCTTTAACAGATGGCAATCCTTTTTATATGCTAATTTGTCTTTCAATTGACTAAACAGTATTGTGTGAGCCTCTTAGAAAGGTACATATCATATTGCTAATTGGTGGCTCTATTGCTTCATTCAAATGAGGCAATGACCTTTTTACTTTATCAGATCCCATTGTGTTGCTCAGAAGAAAAATTCCTCTGAACTAAACATGTATGATGTCTTCCGAAGACAATTGCTATTCATTTTATGAATACATACTTTATATACTGTATTTCAAAAAAATGAAATTTCTTTGGAATTCTGAAAAGTTAACTCATAGCATTATCAACCATGTGGCTCTTAGCAAACTATATATGCCACTTTGCTCTAATGGGACTTGACAAGAGAATACCCCAGTTGGTTTAGCAGCATAAACACTCTAACATAAACATTATGCACATTAATCAAAGAGTCAGGTTAAATAAATAGATATCCAGCAAGAGGTTAGAGGGCAGCCGCATTTCAGAATGTCTAAATTTGTCAGAATCTGCCATTACTTCACCATCTCATGTTCAAACTTACCTGTGTTTCTAGCTCCTTGCCCAGTATTTTTATCAATGCTTTCCAGTTCAGTCACCCTGTTCTGGAGGGACTCAACACTACTTTTCATGCTGTCTGCTTCTTCCCAGTTCTGTCGGAAAGGTCGAATCTCCTTGTCTAGTTCTTTCAGCTTCTCAGCTTGACTATCTATTACCCGCTTTTAGAAAAAAAGTAGATTGCATAAATATAGAAGAACCTCAAGGAAAATAATATACAGGAACACTTAATACTGTACAATAAAGTTACATAGTAATTATGTAAGAATTTCAAATAAACCAGACATGACTGCCTAGTGCCATACTCTGGTATTACTCACCCATCTAATAAACCTTATTAATGCAAAAACAATTAAGAGAAAATAAAATTTAAAGAAATGTATGTATTACTATTATAGTTGCAATGTGAAAAAAGAGATATATTGCTATATTCTTTTTGGCCAGGCAAAATCAACAGAGATGTGTGAAACAGCAAGTATGTGATTGAGAAGAATCTTGGGCTGAAAAATCCCAACAAAACTTGTTCTCTGTTCCTCTCTAACTGTACTAGCTCCATCACTGCAAAATATAAATGTATCATGGAACTGGAAAGGAGGTCTGATTCCTAGTCTTTAGCGGGCCAAACTTGTTCTCTGTTCCTCTCTAACTGTACCAGCTCCATCACTGCAAAATATAAATGTATCATGGAACTGGAAAGGAGGTCTGATTCCTAGTCTTTAGTGGGCCAAGACATATCAATAGGACTTTTGCCTCTTACTTATATACCACTCCATAGTGCTATACAGCGGTCTCTATGTGATTTACAGTGTCAGCATATTGCTCACAACAACAATCCAGGTCCTGATTTTACCAATTTTGGAAGGATGAAAGGCTGAGTCAACCTTGAGCCCATCAGGATCAATCTCCAGGCTATGGGTAGAGTTAGCTTGCAATATTTCATTTTAACCACTGCACCACCAGAGCAATAATACAATACTTTGCCCCATACAATTTGAAAAAGCAGAAATTTTAACTGGAAGCAATTGAAACCACAGGATTTAAAGTGACAAGTATACTATTCAAACCCAACATAGATAGAATATTTACTCCAACTATAATGTTCTCTACTGTATCTACGTTGTTATAGCAGGCAAAAGAAATTGTAAGTGATTTCTGAATCATTCTGTATCAGTTCCCACCACTGATGACAACTCCTAATCAGTTTCAAATTATAGTATTTCCCAGCCATGGTTAAGATTTTTAAGCAAACAATTCATTTTACTTCATTTAATCAATTGTATCCATGAGTTGCAAAATAACTGGCCAGGGCAGATAATTTCATCTTGATCTAGAAGGAAAACAAGAGGACACCTTTTGCCTTCTATGTGGCTTGATTATGCCTTATTTGGAAGTTCAAGAAGCCAGTGAGAGGGAATTTTAATATACAAAAAAAAAAAACACCAACCCTCAAAGCTCAGACGAAAACAGTGAAATTTAGGGTTAAAACAGTGACATTTATGGTTAATGATATAGACCAGGGGTCAACAACCTTAAATACTCAAAGAGCCACAAAGATCCTAACTGGAAGCGCCCTGTTCAATTCTGGAGCTGACCGGAAGTCCAGTTCCCCCACTATAACGTCTCCTTCTAGTGCAGCATGCTTTTTCCTCTGTTGACCGGTAGTCCAGTTCCCCCATCATAGAAGGGGCGTTGGTACTTACCTGACACGCCCTTTCTCTGTGAGCTGTGAACAGCACCCATTGTTTGTTTGGGATGATGCTTCTGTCGCTCGTCTGATAGGCCAGGCTTTAATTGAGAGGATGCTCCTCCTCCTCCACAGGACTCCTCCCAAGCCTCCCCAGTTTTGGTGAAGTCAAAGTGATGAAATATTTCTTCTCCTTCACCCTTTCTAATACTTGGCTGGAATAGCATCCCACCAGACGAATAAGGGTGGGGATGGATGCTCTTCACAGCTCACAGAGAAAGGGCGTGTCAGGTAAGTACCAATGCCCCTTTTCCAGATGAGCTGTTCAGAGCATCCATTGTTTGGGACGTGTCCTACAGGAGGGCTTCTGTCTGGTTCGGATTCCCCTTTTTCTTGGTCCCTATGGACCCTTTGTAACACTCTCCTGTCAAAGGCAGCCTCCGTAGAGGCGAAGACATCATTCTAATAGTTTCTAAATAAAAGGCGATGGTGAGGCCCATGTTGTCGCCTTATAAATTTTCTCTATTGGCACTTGTGGCCCATGTTGTCAACATCGCAGCGCTCCAGGTCGAATAAGTACAGGACGTACAGGATGGGTAAAGGAAGAGATTGTGTCTCATAGGACTTGGGAACTGTGCTCTCAGCCACTTACTGGTCATTGAGGAAGAGGTCTTGCACCCAATGGTGAGTGGTTGAAAAGAAACAAAGAGAACCTTTGTTTCCTAACACACATCGTGTGGTTGAAATATATGCAGAAAGCTCGCCTTACATCTAGATTGTGGCATTGTCGTGCCAGATTTTATGTCAGTTTCAGACAAATGTACGGGAGTATCAATTCCTATGGTCTGTGGAAACCCAAATTTATCTATGGGTGAAAGATGGATCTGGACTAAGGACCACTTTGTGTGAAAAATACAGAGCTCCTGTCTAACTGACAAGGCTACTAGATCCAAGATGTAACTGGCCAATGTAATGGCAACCAAGAGAACCACCTTGTATGTTAGGAATGGAGACGCATGGTCTACAGGGGCTCAAAGGGAGGTGTTTTTTTTTTAGTGCGGTAAGGACCCTGTTGAGGTCCCACGTGTGATATCAATGCACTACAGGAGGCCGTAAGATTGTAGCCCGATGCAAAAAACTTGCATATGCGTGGGTGATGAGAGATGGACTGCAAGTGTCTCCTAGTGATGACCGATGGTAAGGCCACCCCTTTGCCTCTTTATATGAACAAGATAATAATGAAATGTCATATAAATAATGCTGCCGTCTAACAGGTGTGCCTGAGATGGATACCCAGAGCCATCAGAACCTTCATAAGAACCTTGGGCAAATGACAACCCAAAGGACAGTGCAATGTATTCAAAACGTTGAGTATTACAACAAAAACTAAGAGGTTTGCTATTTGAGGATCTAATTGGAATGTGGGGATGGGCCTCCATTAAGTCAATGGAGGGTAGAAAATCACCCCTTCTGAAGGTCAGAAGTATGGAGTTCAGTATACTCATCTTAAGCGACCTATGAACTATGGATCGATTAAGTCATTTTAAAACTAAAATTGCCCCTGCTGATCTGGTGCTACAGGTCGGTTGCCTGGATCTCCAATAAATGAACAATAGCTGTCTCCATCATGCTCCCTTTAACAGGATCCCCAGAGAGAAGGCAAGTAATGCAAAGGTTCCGGGGAGAGGATGGAAATTCTATAGCCAGGCCTAATCTTCTGATATCTCTAACCCAGGAAACAGAGGTAGAGACATCCCATCTGTCCGTGAAAGGCTTGAGCCTTCCACCAATAGGGGCACAGTCGTGAGGCCTATGTTGTGCCTCGGAGACCTCGATTTCATGTTCCTCAAGAGATTCTTTTGCTCTGCCCTCCCCTTCAGTTTCTATCTCCAGATCGGAAACTATCTGATTGTTGGTGATTCATGCGTCCAGACAGTCCCTGGAGTCTGGAGAGAAAAAGTCCGTAGTAGAGGGAACGAAGGAACCCTTCAAAAGGCTGGGAAGGATTATTTGGGGGTCTATGAAAAGAGAGGAACTTATTTTCTGCTTCTAGTCTTTATCAGAGATAGGTCAGGGGCACCACCAACCAAATTATCTCCCTATATTGGGGAGGAAGCAAGCTTCCATTAGTTGTGTGATATCTGCTTGCCAATGTCTGAGCCATAGCAGTAGGCGAGGAGTAACCTGAGATGCCCTGGCTTGAGCAGATAATTTAATAGTTTCGTGGCGTCCCTGTGTGCCCTGATACTGGAATTTGAGATAATCTCCCTCATATAGCAGAGCTACCTGAGAGACGATCTAGTAAAAAAAAGGGGGGGATGCGGCTGACTCCGCTCTTATGGCCCCCACATCAGATTGACATGCCCTACATGGAGACAACCTGTATATCCTTTAACATGAGAGCCTCTTCTGCTTCCGTTGGAATTGCAGAGGAGGATGATAATCGCCATTATTGTTTTATCTACTATTGTGGTGATGAGAAATTTAGCAGAATCAGAAAACCAAATTAAAATTTTTCTATCATATCCTGTAAGAGGGGTATACACCACTGAAAAGACCCCTTGTTTCTGGACGAAGTCCAAAAACCTCTGTGGGACAGTTATGACTTCCTCTTACATTATTGGTTGGGAGAAGATTAAATCGTCTGACCCCCCCCTTACAGTAACAATTGTTGGGGCGAGAATGGAATATCAAGGCAGGCAGTAGGGGCTTTTGTTTTTTGAAACAACAGAGACTTGAAAAAAGACCGAGGGCGAAACAGACCTGAAAGTCTGGCTTAATGCCTTCAATGTTTGACATGCCCCCCCCTTTTAGGGGATCCGCCTCTGACAAATTTTGGTCACTGTTGTGAGTAGACCCTTCCTCAACCTGTTCCATCTGTTCTCTAGTTCTCCCTCATCCCGTGCATCATGTGAATGTGTAACTGGATTATATAATACTCCCCTGAAGGAGGTACCTGCTGGTAATGAAGGTCTATTCTGCATAGTAACTAAATAGAGTGAGAATCGAGGTCAGATTGTGGAGGCTGCCTAGCCATCAACTTCTACTGTACTACGGCTGCGATGCCTCTTCAGGTTGCCATGTCCCTCCAGGCCTTCAATTTGTCAGGGATATCCTCTGAAAGGAGGAATTCTGGCGTGGTCCCACAACTGTCTGTCAGGTAAGTAGCACTGCTGAAGGCCTGGGCTGAACTGGTCCCTCTGAGGCTCTCCTGGATGGCATTGAGAGATCCAGGGATGGAGGCAAGGTGAAATATGGAACACTTCACAAAGTTGCGTGTCAACCTTGCGCAGCGGCCATGCTAATCTTCTCTGTATCATTCCAATTTTAGTATATGTGCTGCTGAAGTGAGCACTCTGGAACTGGGACCAGCCTGGCTGGGGAAGAGGACTGAGACTTCTGTTCAACCTCCCTCATGCATTTTTTTTTAAAGATATGCTTATCTAACTCATGTTGGTGTCTCTTGGCATCCTTTGTTGCCTTAGAGGTCTCTCTAGGACGTTTGACCTACTTTGAGTTGGTTTATTGTCCTCTGGGGGTATTTTTGGTTGCCCTTGAAGATTCTGACCTAAAGCCCACAAGGTGAGATATCTATATCTATATATCTATATGTGTATGAGATATTAATGGACTGTTGACTGGTTCAGAGGACTGATGTAAACAGAGGCAGGGAATCCTCTTGATATTTGCCCCCCCCCCTTTTGGTAAATTCGATTGTTATGTTATTATTCATAATAATATTGATATCATTAATATTGTTATTATTGATAATATTTTTGTTATATCTGTGCACAGCTACTAACATAAATTGTTGTGCTGTTACCAAACTCATAATTAGATGACTGAATATGGAATCAAATTGTGAGGCCAAACAGAGAACACCTTTCAGGATCTGTATTGCAATTGGGTGATCCTGCAGTCACTGGCCCTCAACAGCTTCCTGCCCAGATAGACACAGGCCTTGGTGCTCGCTGTTACTGTGCTGCTAGAATTCTGTGAGGGCTGCCAACTTAAAAAGGAAGCCCAATAGTCAACTTCAGAAAGAGGTCCATAATCGGCATAAATGTCCCCTGGACCCTCATGGAGATCCTTGTGAGGGGAAGTGGCCTCTCAACAGATAATGCCATGGAATTCTTATAAACAAAATGATGCCGGCGTTGTTTTAGTCGTCAAGATGTAGCATCAACCATCATGTCTTATTGTGAGCCGATGCAAATCTAACTGGAATTTGAGAATTTGAGTAGGAGAACTCTGAGTTCTCTGGCTCCACCCGATCAATAGCTTCTTCTATATACCTTGCGGGAGTATATCTGAAACTACAGAATCTCCTGTGGAGAGACACCTGAGGATAAGGATGCTCTGTCCTGCTTAGTGACTGGAGTTATAGGGAATTCCAATCAGAAGGAATGCTCTGTTGTTGGCCAGAGTAGTATGCTGTACCCACGCAGAGATACATGGGCGTATTGCTAATTCCATCTACAGTCTCATCTTTGTGGGGATCTTTTCCGGTAAGTCATCATATTGACAGAATCTGGCCGCTGTTGGGGCAATGTGGCCACAGAGGCACTTTGAGACACTTGTACTGATCTAGATGGGCTACCTGATCTTGTGCAGCTGCGCTGCATCTGGATTACACAGACAGATCTAGGGGTGGTTGCAGAGGGGGATTGGAGTTGAAGTAGGCCTGGAGGAGATGAGGTTTGAGAATTTTCTTCATCCTCCCACATGAACTTCTTCATGTGTTTTTTCTAGTACCTTATGGCGCTTGTTAGAGTCTTTTTCTGCTGCTTAGGAGATACACTTAGAATGCTTCAATTTGTTTTGAGAATTTGACATGGCTCTTGAGCTACTGCCGCTTGCCATTGTGACCGCTTATTAAATTTTATTGTTAATGAGGCTGAAATGTTGGGCGGTTGGCACGCCCAGGGGCCTGAACCAGCAATGGCCAGGGAACCCTAAAACAATGTTCCCCAGTTTTGTATAATGTTATGTAAGAATACTGAATTCTTATTCTTGTTCCTATTATTATTATCATTATTATTTTGTTATTAATATTATTATTTCTGAATTAGCCAAATTTGGAACACCTCATAGGCCTAGAAAGGAGGAATTGTTGAAATAAGATGTAGGCCTGTGACAGCTTCCTGCACAGGCAGACACGGGCCTTGGTGCTCGCTGTGGTGCTGCTATTTAATTCTATGAGGGCATAAGCCAACGGTTTCCTCCTTAATGAATAACAGTCCAAAATAGAATAATTCTATCTATCTATCTATCTCTCTCTCTATCTACCTACCTACCTACACACACACACACACACACACACACACACACATATGTATTAGGGTGATTTCCCTCAGGTTCCAGGAAGGAGACCCCTGCTTGGGGAAAGAAAAGCCTCTCACAGTTCCAGAAATAAAATGCAGATCACTACCGCATGGTTAGTGAGTCTGCAAAGGCATATCTCTTTAGGCGCGTAATGAGTTAAATTGGGTTAATGAGTTAAATCGGCTCAGCAGCACTTCCACGCCTTGTGGGGAGTCAATACTGCAGAGTTTCCCCTTGAATAAAAAGGCACGGTGGGGCAGATGGACGCTGATGCCCCCACCCCAGACGGTGTTCCCAGGGGAGAGAAAGAAGCCTCGGACCCTTTAAAAATGGAGCCTCTCCCATCGGGTGCGGGTGGCAGCGATCGTAGCGGCTCGGCTTGAAAAGATCGTAATGTGAGTTGTTAGCCATGCAGCTGAGGCGTTATCACCTCTGATCGTCCTGGGGGCGAGAGATCATTATCTGAAGCTCCCTTGGCTCAAGTTATATATCGTAGGGAGCTGCTTGACTCATTGAAACTAAAAGCCTTAAAGGAGTTGTTTAAAGTTTAAAAGCAAACCTTTTTGTTGTCTCCTTTTGAAGCCTTTGCTATTCCGGCCAAGGGAAAGGAAATTAACCATATTGAAAAGGATTTACTGGAACCCAATGGCATTTCAGAATGACTTTCTTTCCATAATTATCAAGTTTGAAAATTCAGTGAAAATATCACATTTTCTTATATATTTTTAAGATACAAAATTGCTGAACAAGACTTTATGCTCTAGAATATGACCTCAATAGATGGTTCAATCACATAGCCACACCTAAATTAGTCTATGCCCTGCCTTTCTCCCTCCCCCAAAATCATTTTTAAAAAGTCACCCAGAATTTATTTTCTTTAACAAAAAGAATCAATTAGTTCTGCAGTACTAAAATATGGAGAGAGCTGTACCTTTATTACCTTTATTATTGTCTTTGGAAAAAGAAAGTCATAAACAATAATAATCAGCCTAACATACATACAATATCTGTGCAATTTACATTAATAAACGAATGCTACTATTTGAGGTAGAAAAGTGACATTTAAACACATGTGGATTTACAAATGATGATATACATTCTCACCATAAAAGCTGTACCTATGTGTTTTCATATAACTTCATGAAGATAACCAAGGAGGAACTATCAAGATGCATACTGCACAGCCATTTTTCCTGAATATGTATCTATTCAGAGATAGCTAATTCCTGGGGAAGTGTTTAGGTTTGTAAACTTGACTAGTCTTCAACATGGAAACCAAAACCGAAGGAGATGGTTTCTATGGGGTTTTTTTAATGGAAGAAAAGCCAAAATCTTACCTGCAAGTGATGTATTTTAGTTTCATTACTTCGCAACATTTCCTTCTGTCTCTCAATTTCTATTTCAAAGCTACAAATTTGATTATGTAAAGTTTGTATGCTCTTGTTCTTTTCCAAGCTTTCATTCTGGAGCATGGCCACCTGAAAAAAAATGCTACAATTATTCCTCCAAATGTGGAAAAGCTTCAGCCATCTCTCATGGTCAATGAATTACAAAAGAAGTAAGATGGAGATAATTGTGTCCTCCTGCTTTGTCTCTTAAACAAAATAAACCTACTGGGGATGTGTTCTGTGGCCAGGACTGAAGCTATTATATGTGTAGTAATTAAGTGAAACTACAAGTGATGAAAGCCAAAATCAGCCTGTAGTAATTTTATGAATGAAATCACACAAAGGAAAAAATGAAAGAGGGAAAAGCTTTGTTGATATTCCCTGAAAGTAATCAATCCATGCTTTTGTTTCCTTAAAATTCTCAGCCAACTTTCTAGACTTTTGAACAGTTTCATAAAAGATTGCTAACTAGTACATTTTATTCACAGCATGTGTCATCCACGAGAACTTGCACATGGTTCATCACTGTATTTCCTCCCTAAAAATATCTTGCACCTGGAATTCAACCCTCTTGTCTTGCCAAAGGCACATTCTATATATTTGAAACTGAGAGCAACTAGAAAAAAATGTCCATGTAAAGCAAACTTTATCAAAAACTGTTAAGGATAAACATCTATGATCCACCCAACTTGTCCTTGACTATCAATAACAGTAAAATCATACCAAGATAAACAAACATCCATTTTTCTACCATCAGTAATTAAACTGTGCAAAATCAACTAACCCTTTTTTGTTTTTTTGTTTTTTTAAAAGAGGGTACTCTCCCAACACCAATACTGACTTCTGTTATTAGGATGCAAGAAAGCTAACATCATGACTGTGAGTTTATTTCATTGTTATATAACATAGGAATACTGATAATGTATATTTCAGGAAGTCTAATGTTAAAAATTATTATATGTTGGAGTATACTATATTTTATTATTATATTTGTTAGTCTGTCTGAGGGGAGTAAAGAAGAAAGAACAAGAAGGAAAAGGACTGGAGTTAGAACTATTATAGATAAGTTTAAACATACAATTTCATGATCCAACAAGTAGAATAAACCTTACTTTGCAATAAAATATAGGAGAAATTAATTCTGTGGTGATGCAATACAGTTCTATGAGCAATTTTTTTAAAAAAACCCAGAAATGCTGTTATATTTTCTGGCACAGCCTTTGTCAGAGATAGTTAATCAGTTGTAAATGATAAAAGTCTTCTGTTCTATTATTTAAAAACTTCAACTCCTTCCTTTATGAGATGAAACCAATGGGAAATATTTTATGAGAAGCATCCAGCTAAAAGCATAATATGAATATGCCACAAATTCTTGAAAAAATTACTTCAATGTTTATTTTTAAGTATGAGGCAGTTTGGTTTGGATTTGCTCTTAAATTTAAGTCATTTCATTGCCTTTGAAACTGAAGAGTACTTAGATAATACTCTAAATTCCAGAATTTTACCTGTGCTCCATTAATAAAACATTAAATATGAAAGATAACGTGAGCAGGAGATGTACCTTATTTTCCAGACAATTACTCCACTCTTTCAATAAGTCTACATGCTGCACTGCTGAGGTGGCTTCATGTGCTTTAACTTGCTGGTTTGTTCCCTGTGACAAAGAATATATTTTAGCGAGCTTCATTTTTTAAAGCAAACCTACACTAAAGTATAGCACTGGTCCATCTACAATTGAACAACATTATATATTAACCCACTGATGCATTTTCAAACATATTAACAGAGACCTATTTTAATAGAAAAACAGTACAAGTAACAGAGATTCCACTTTCCAATAATTAGTGACACACCGAAAATTTAAAAACATAACAACTATGTTATCATTATTTCAAATCACATTTTAGAATCATTTAGCTAATTGAAAGTTACATAGTATATTTTTTTAACAGTAAAACAGTATTTTTAAACAGTAAAACATTCCACAAATGCTGCTCTAGCAAATAATTGCCTCAAAAAGTGGCAAAATCCCTGCCTTGCTATAGTGTTGCCAATATTTCTTTAATTTCTTTACCATTCATTCATTCTCAATTAAAAAACCTCTTCCTTTCACTGTTTTACCATGCAACTGTTAAGTTCCCTTATCCTTATAGCAAATTCCCTGGGGAAGCTATTCTATATTAAAGCCAAATAAGGGGTGCTGGTGCTGCCATCTTTGTACATAGTTATATAGAAATGAGTAGGGGAATTTCATTTTTCTCTTTTTCATCCTAGTAAAACTGGAGTTATCCAATTAAGATAATTTACAAGAGCTTCAGTCAGACAAACCAAAAATGTTTCACAGAGCCAATGTTATAGGGTATGACAGACATCAACATAAAGGGAGTCTAGACAAATTCACAGTTTATAAAGTCATCAATGATAATTATATACCACCTTCTGGGGAAGAAAAGGGAAATATGTATCTAGTTGGTTATGTAGTGATGAGATGACAAGATTATTGGCTCTGGGATGTTTGTATGATTTTAAACTTCTGACTTTCACCAATCTCAAAAACTAAATATTAATCAGTTGAGATTGGTGAAGGTCAGCTGTGCTGCCACAGAGCACCAGTAGATCTGATACCTATAAGCTTGGAGGGAGAAGGCAATGGCAAATTATATCACTACTGTTGTTAAAAAAATACTACATGGATATGCCCATGAAATTATAAAAATTGAGTTTCAACTCAATTACTTTCTATCCATGATAGAATAAAGGAAGGACAGGTAATTGGACATTATTAACAGTGTGGTTTTAAGGGCAACAAGTTGTAGCAATCATTTTCTTAGTGATATTAAAATTCCACAGGAACAAAACTTGGTGGACTGGATCAAAATTTCTAGGTTATCAAAATGCTTTTGTAGAGAGACATGCAGTTTCAGCTGAATAGACTGAAATGAAAACAGTCAGACCCAATTCGCCTACCCCCCCAGAAATAACAGCAACTCCTGCTTTAACAAAATAAAATTCCCTACTCTAAAGAACATACAGAACACTTCAGTGCTGTAAGACACCAATAGTTTTGCATCTTATATAATTAAAGAAGAAATTGGAATATAGAGTACTTAAGGAAAAGAGTGTATTTGCCATTCCTTTCTGTCATACTTTTAGTACACATGCCATTTTGTTAAAGTATTATTATATAGAATAAGTTGCAAATGTAGTATCCTTTTAAAAGTCAATATGTACATTGTGTTTAATATATTCAAACTATATGTAAACACATATATATTCAAACACACAACATAAAAATAAAGAAGGAATAGAGCTATTTCTTCTTAGAGCAATTGTGTTATATGCAAATCACTTAATGTTTTGATTTTATCACTCAGTGCCATTTGGTGTCTAGAGCCTTTTAGAAGAAAATAGTTTATTTGTCTTGTTACTACTTACTGATCTTATAGCATCGCTACATGGAAATACAGCCTCAGGTTAAACAGTGAGAAGGATAGCTCTATATGGAACTTGGATTACACTACCCTTCCTTTCCAAATATTGAAAAATGTTAAACTATGGGGGACAAAGGATTTTGTGGATTTAACATTAGATTTTAAAAGGGGCAGTTAACATTCAAATAAATAAAATTAAGCCACATGTCACACACAAGATAGATTAGAGAGAAAAAAAGATATGCAGGGATTTTATTTCAGTGAGCTACTCTTTACTCTTATCCTTTTTAATGTAACTCTCTTGCTGGAATTTAACACTGATGTCAAATAAGCAATTTACAGAAAAACATGTACTGCACAACTTAAAATATATAAATAACATAGCCTTGCTAAAAAAAGAAGAGCCCATATCTACTTACACTAATTTGCTTTTGCATATTTAATTCTTATTGTCAAAAGAGTTAGACAAGTCTGTTCGCACTTACAATAATATTTCTAACAGATTTGTACTGGGCTATTATGTTTAGTTTTCTTGAACACAATCCACTAAATTTTGAATCTATGTGGAATACATATCCAAGTGAAATCCGTAACAGCGGAATTTATACAAGTTTTTAGACTGCTATGGATTTTCAAACAGGAAGAATTGAAATGTTTCTTTTCTAAAAGTAAAAAATGTATCGCTGAAACAGCTGAAATAATTAGTCTGCTTTCTTGAATTCAAAAATGTGTCTTGCATATTCTAAATTTGATATTCAAAACTCTTGAAACCATTTAAATTTCTAAAGTATGAAAAAAAGAAAAGAAAAAGGACATTACTGTAAATCCAATATGAAGCTTTTAATCACTCAAGCAACTGGATGCATTCTCTTTTCATGAATAACAAGAGACATCAAGTCCAGTCCAGAGAGTTATTAATAATATTTTCTTATTGCAGACTTTCATCAAGTATATAAATTATTATATACTGACCTGAAAAGTGCAGCCATAACGCTTAAAACTACAGGTACTTGGGGCATTAATACATTCTGACAAATGTGCATTCAACTGTAATAGGAAAAAAATGTGTGAGTTTTTTGGGGGGATGGAAAATGTATGCATAATAAGATTAAAAATATATAGGGGATGCAATACAAGTTTGTATTGTGGTTGGTTGGTTTTAGTTTATTTTAAAACCATGTTTTCTTATTACCTCCAGTTGTACTTGAGAGTATACACATACACATGTAATCACAGGAACATTCCAGTAGAATATACAAATTGACACATTTACAGTGAAACCTAATCAAATAATCATTTCAGTTAATTTCAAAAGGATTTCAGTATGTTTTTATCAAAAAGCCAATTTTTCAAAAGGGACATTAAGTAACCTTGTGGACCAATCATTCTGGATAGAGGTTTCACTGTATTAATGCACATCCTTCATGCCCGCATCAGGCCGCTTCCCAAATTTTTAATTCAAAACAGATTTTCATGCAAAATTCCAGTGATAAGAAAATAGAACATTTTGACAGAGACAAATATTGCATGAAACAAACATGTACATTTGTAAATTAAATTTTATTTTTACTAAAACAGCACATAGAAATAAAACTATCCTAAGAGCAATGGAGAATAAAATAGATATAAGGCATGAAAGAGTCAAATAGTAAATAAAGGAACGGTCTTTATTATTCCACAAAAATCTTTTGGATTCTCTCAAACTCATGCGCTGGCCACACCCACTCTTATTTTAGTGAAGGGGGGAAAGTTGTGATATGTCACAGGACAACTATGTGATGTTGCGTGTTTGACACCCCTGCTCTAAAGCATCACTGAATATGACTACAGTGAAATCTTGGCTACCTGACACAATGTCAGTGGTCTCTAACATGCCTTGTTCTTCAGCCCTGTGCTTGCAACTAATGGAGATCTGCCTCAGGATCATGGAGTTTGTAAAATCTCCACAGCTCAACTTCTTGTTTATGGCATATGATAGATGCATGAGAAAAAACAGTTTTAGCTTCACTTTACAACAGAGTAAAAGTAACTGCAGGTAACATAGGATATGCTTCCATTTTGGTAAAGATTAAGATTTTTTTTTAAAGATGCTATAGAATTCGAGGGAGAAAAAAATCTAAGAAATGCAACTTCCTACAGTAATTTTTAAATGAAGAACAGCCAATCCATGCTTCTCAAGAAGTAATTCTTTAAAATTGAATAATATCATTCTAGAGAAAAATCTGTTAAGTGTAAAGAGAATGGCACAATTTCATTTTCCTGAACAAATATCTAGGAATTATTTTTCCTTCCAGACCTCACAATTATACTTGGTCAGCTTCATAAAAAGAAAGCTCCCTCCATTTATTATTCACTCATGCCCCCTGTACTACACTTATTTTTTGGTTAGAGTTTTCATATTAGTGGGAGATTTTCAAGGCAGTGGAAGAGATTATTATTTCACTGCTGGCAAATCAGATGAATTGAACAATAAGATAGTACCATATAAATTAGCTATTTCTGCTATTTCAGAAAATTTTTGATAAACTTCCTTTATAATTTAAACTCAATAAAATTTTCCCATAAAACCCCAACTATGTTATTGGTTTATAAGCTTTATTCAACTGCAACGATTTTTGTGAATTTATTAAATAATCTAAACATTACCTGCTCATTACAAAACCTGATCAATCATTTATAGGGGTCTGGCTGAGGAATTTTGGGAGTTGAAGTCCATAAGTCTATTTCACAAGCCCACAAGTCTATTTCTTACCCAAATCTATTTCCCAGTCAGTACTGAAACCACCAAACCTTATTAACTTCAATGTAAATACTAAACCTCTAATAAATGTTCTATCAAAAGAAGACATCCATATTAATCTCAGACCAATAAATACACTCATCATACCATTTTTTTCCTAATTAAGGTCAATTAATTAATATGATTATAGTTATACACACTGAAGGTGAAGCATCACATTACTTCAATCAGTTGCATAGTAATGTAAGACATTATTATTCATTTGAACTTGCAAAAAAAATTGCTTGGCAAGATATGGAATGCTAAATCATCTACCCAAATTTCTCAAAATTCCCAAATTTCCGTCAAGGCTTTTTTAAAACCCAGGACAATTTTGGGAAACCCAGGACAAGTTCATTTGGGAAAGAAATTTGGGAATAAAATGACTAAAAAGGACTGGGGAAGTACTGCCAAAGAATGATTAATTTATCTCCTGCACTGATTTTTGCTCAGACAGACCAAAACAAACAAACAAAACAAGAAACTCCTCTATCTGTAAAGGTAATTTTTAAAATTCATTTCAGGTAGAATTTTCATCCTTTATGACTGAGTCATCTTTAATGCACCATGTAGGTATTTGGACTAGATATTACATTATATGTGTGTTACTTTAGCTCCCAGTACATTCTCAAATCAAAGAGAACATTGGAGGAAATAAATAAAGTTTGTATGTTGCTTTCTTAGAAATATTGTGCCCTCATGATTGATTAATGTAAGTTATAAGGCAAAGACTACAGATGATGAACTCAGTTTTTTATGGCAGCCTAACAGTCTAATGACTCTAAACTTACCAAGCAATTACACAATTCTTAAAATCTCCAATACTACCTATTCATTATGAAGAACATACACGTTTTTCTGATACCTGCGATAAGTTAATGTAGTTTTAATGCAACATATAATAAGGGTAAAGGGGGAAATATGTTGCAATCACTGCAGATGTTTGTTTACTTATTTATTTAAGAAAATTGCAGCATTGTATTCTGGGAGCTTAGAAATACTTTTAAAGTTAACTTCAGCAACAGAAAGATTCCCTTGTTCTTCAAATGTATTGGAGCTTCAACAACAACAAAACATTCTGCAGCAACTAATATAATACAGCATGTTATCTGATTTTATAAACAGCTCTGCAATATGATTTTTACCTCTTTTCTGAGGAGTGCTGAAACACTGCACTGATGAGGACACGTAACCATAACACAAGGACAGTCTGCATCTTCATGTTTCTAAGAAAACAATAGAAGTCATGCCACGTACGTGTAGATTCATAATCACTTGTACTGAACAAAAAATAAAATGGTGAAGAAGCTATTTCTTTAGACAAATAACATGACCTGTCAATATAATTTATTTTTAGGACTGAAATTTCTGCCTTTTAGAGATGCACAAAATGTTTCTTCCTCCAACCCCCCATTTCAAGTGTTCCAAGTTTGAACAAAATGTACGTTATCTTGAGTTCTATTATCTGGAAGTAAATGTGCACAAATGATCTTATGCTGACATACTTTTTTAAGGGTGCATTTGCTTGTTAGTTGTGCAGCAAGGTGTGTGCGTGTATGCACATGTGATAATGTATGATATATATACATATCACTTGTTAATGCATATGCGTATGCATGTATGTATGTTGTAAGCACAACGCTTGACTGCAACACAGTAATGTTAAATTTTTATAGAAGAAAAATAAAGTGAATACTCAATAATAATTCATTAAATTACTCTACTAAAAACTATCTGACCAGCTAGGTTTTATAGGGTCTTGGTCACTGCTACTGTTTATATGCCCATTAACTGCATAATGAAATGAATGCAGAAGATTGATCTCTTTATGCTGATGATGGATCACTGAAAATTTTGGTTTTTTTTTCTCTCTCTCTCCCTAGAAATGTTTCGATTCATCCTACAGCAGATAGTTTTAAAACATTGGCTGATTTTTCTGCCATTTTGCTATCCTACCTATTTCTGCAGCAATGTGATTAAAAAGAAGATAGCAAGGCAGTCACAACCATTTCCTACTACTTCATTCAGAGCTTGCAATATTCCATATTTGGCTCCAACAAATACATGGACCAGCTGTTTCAGCTGTTTCAAGTTCTTTTTCAATAAGATGTAGACAGCACAAAATGTTTCAAACAAGGTTTTGTTTCAAAGTTGAAGCAAAACACAACTGAGCTTATTTTTCATATCTCAGAGTTTAAGTACAAAATATAGACTTTAGAAGGCTACAGACACACATTTTCTTCCACTAAACTCCAAAATCTGCAAAGAAATCTCTAAGAAACGAGGTTTTAATACTGCTACTATGGTAATCAAGGTCACAACTAGCAGATACAATCAGGCATCAGATTGATAAAAGTTGCCCTTCCCAACATAAAATTATGTGATATTGTTTTTAAATTAATTTTTAAAAAACCATCAGTAATCCGTGCTGAAGATACTAGTCTCTAGAAAAGTTATTATTCATTGAATTGAAAATCCTCAATGTAACTGGGATTTCTTACTTTGCAGAACTTGTAGAGGTTACAAAAGTCTGAATCATCGGACTTTCGGTTTGAGCTTCTTCAGCGACAGACCGACAGACTTGTCTCTGTGAGGCTTCGATCCGTGCTCGCGGCTGGAGCGCCCCGAGCCGGCTGGTTTCGGGGCTAAGCCACCCTGTAGAGGTGGTGAAGAGGAGGGAGACTGCCAGCAAGGTTGAGGAGAGCTGCATCTCTCCTCCCCAACTGGCCATTACTCCCTTTCCTGAAGGCGGTTGCAGCGGTGGTCAGAAATGGCCACCACAAAGAAGAACTCGACCGGAAAAGAATGTGCAGGAGGAAGATAAGAAGAGAAAGTTTTGGTTGACCAGGTCAAACAGCAAAAGCAACAAATAAGGTACCCTGGAATTTAAACTGTTAAAAAACAATAACATTGTTCCCTAAGAAGATTTTTAAGCTGCGAAGGAGAGAGAAAAGGGAAAAGATTTGGTTTTCTCCTTTTCCTATACTGACAGCAAGAGACTTAAGCAAGAAATTTGGAAAAAATCCACTTTGACAGCAATAGGCATTTAATGCTGAAAATAAAAAGTCAAAGGGATAATAAAGATTTCTGGATAATTAAAAGCTTTTGAAAACAGGAAAGGAGAGAGGAAGAATAAAAGGACAGGATCTGGAAGGGAGGAGACTGCCTGGAATTAAAAAAGAACTTACAGCAAAATCTCAACAAGACTTCCAAAAGATACATTCTAATTGAAATATCACAACAAAAACTCAGGAAGAGAAAGTCAAAAAAGAAATAAGAAGATATATCTCGGGACTATCTGGATTACTTGATGATTTCTGGATTCTTGGTTATTGTTTTGAATGACTAAAATCAATCGGGTGGTTGTTTAAAACTTTTTAAAATGGCTCCACTTTTAGAAGAATTGAAAATGGAACTTAAAAAGTACGAAGAAGATGCACAAGAAGGGAGAGGTTCTTTTGGCTTCGTATTTCAGTTTTTAGAAATGGAGATTTGGAATTATGAGAAACAACAAGAAATGCCTGCAGAACAAGAAGATTGTGACAAAGAAGAAGCCATCTTTAATGAACAAGGAATCTTAGATGGGGGAAAGAAAGGAAAGGGGAGAAAGAGAATGGAAAGTTTAAGATTGGGAAAAACAACTCCCCCCCCCAAAATAGAGTGAAAAGCAACAGAAGAGGGAAATGCAGAAGAGAGAATTAGAACTAGAGAGACAAGGGGTAAAAAGGGGAGGGAGAAGATGAGAGGGAACAAAGAAAGGAAAAGAAGTTATAAAGGACAGAAGCAAAATATAGAGAAACAGGGTCTATTTAGAGATAATGGGTGAAAACTTAACGGAAAAAGGGATTCTGCAAAGGTACATAAGATAGTATGGTTATATTAGAAGCAGAAATAATTTTAGAAAATATGAAACAATGTATAATTAAAATGCCTGATAAAATAGTTATCGTAATGCAGTGGACTGCTTGTCAATAAGTAAATGTAACAAAAGGTATATTTAATGATTTATAAAACATATGTGAAGAGACATAAGGGAAAAATTAATTATGGAGATTATATGTGTTTTTAAGGAAGTATGATATTTAATTGAAAAGAAGTATTAAAGATGTTATGGTTTTAATGATTATTAATGATAGAACTGAACTGAAATGGAATAAGGGTTTATAATTACATATATTTACAATCTTTCTTTCTTTTTTTAAAGAATATAAAGAATATAGTGTGTATTATAAGAATGTACCAAGCAGAATTCGATTGGAAGTTATGTATTATGTATTATATTGAAGGTGATAAACTTAAGGTATATATTGAAGTTTAAATAAGAGTTGAATGGATGTAATTAAAAGATATAAAGGTGTCATACTCCAATTAGTAACTACAGGAGAAAATTTGTTTAATGAGAAAAGATAATATGAAATTGAAACAGAACAGTCAAAAGTATAAATATAATGATTTGAATTGAGATGAGATAATCAAAATAAAATTGAGAAAATTAAAAGAGGCGAAAAACTATATAGAAAATGTAAAATAGTATAAGATATGTAATAGAATACAAAAAGAAGCATGAAATTGAGTTTTGTGTCTGCATAAAGAAGTTCAACCCAGGACCATGCTATTTTCAAAAAAGATGTTTTACTTGTATTTTGTGTGTGAAAACCCAAATAAAACTTTATTAAAAAAAAAAGTCTGAATTATCAAAAGCAGAAAAATATAAAAGCTTATTTGTATAATTTTCATTCCATCCCCCGGTCCTGTACAGCATCCTTCTTTCCTGCCTCTTCATTTTGAAGCCCTGGAATTTATGACCATAAGGAAAAAATCAATTGGTTTCCTCTATTATTTGAGAACTCACTCACCCATGTAAAATGATTTGGAAAAAATGGTATAAGTTTCTCTTACAAGTATAGCCATTAAGCACTACTTATTAGATTCAACAGAATGAAAGATCTAAGAAATCCAAATTCCCAAAATGTTCTAAATGAAGTTCATATGATGCAGCATCATTTTTTAGGGTATATGCTTCCCATTTTGTAAACTGTTTAGAAAACTTTCAAATTACAGCCTCTGGAGAGGCAATTACTCTGGACTTAGGGAGATTGCTATCCAAATCGTGGTTATCTATTTGAAATAATCATATCAAAAGTATTCCTCCATTTTTCAATCAAGGCAATAAAAGTGACCTTAGGAGACTTCAGCCTTTTGGACTGTCTCCATTCAATCCCATTTACAAGGCTGCTAATTGTAATGAATCAGAAACAATGGGAGAAAAAAGTACATTGTTATTATATTAAAGAGAGTGCGTATGGCATCGAATGAACTGTCTGTCTTAAAGGCTCCCAGATTCTTCAAAAGACCTTGTTCACCATAGATAGTTTCCTGAAAAGTTGTTTTGCTTTCTAAGAAGACATACTTACTTGTATCATAATGATTGGCACTTGGCTTTTACAGTATTTACATGTTGTTTCCCGATAGTTGCAGTTTTTTTCTATATGATCTGGTAAATCTTTTCTCAATATTTTTTCTTTACAATCGGTACGAGGACATGGAAGTTCTTCAAAGAGACAGTCATTTCTTAGATGTGTCTGAAACCAACAAGCACCAGGTCATCAATACACGAAAGGCAATACATTTAGTTTATTTATCAATGTAAAGGCAATACATTTAGTTTATTTATCAATGTAAAGATAAAGAATCTTGTAAACTTTATTTAGTGATTGCAAGAAATTCAAAATATTCTTCCCCCTTGTTTTTTCTTGGGTATAAAATATATGTTAATATTGTATTAAGAGCTGAGAAAAAAGACACAAAAGCCAGTTGCCAATAAATTTGAGATTGTCAATAAATTTGAGATTGTCACCCAGAAGTTTGAAACGTCTGAATCTTCTTGCAGCAGCAGTGCAAAATTATGACACAGGTAGTCCTTGACTTAACAACAGTTCATTTAATGACCCAAATTACAACAGCACTAAAAAAAGTAACCTATGACCGTTTTTCACACTTACAACCACTGCAGCATCCCCACAATAAGAATTCAGATGCTTGACAACTGACTCATATTTATAATGGTTGCAATGTTCCATGGTCATGTGATCATCTTTTGCAACCTTCTGACAAGTAAAGTCAACAGGGAAGCCAGATTCACTTCACAACCATATTACTAACTTAAAAACTGCAGTGACTCACTTAGATGTGGCAAAAAAGATTGTAAAAATGGGGTAAAATTCTCTCAACAACTGTCTCACTTAGCAACAGAAATGTTGGGCTCAGTTGCGGTCGTAAGTTGAGAACCACTGTACTCACTTCAAAACACTGACAGAAGTACACTACCAAAGTTTATTGGGGGTGGAGTACTTAAGAATTTAGTATCCAACAGCAGTGATTTTCACTGTGTTTTTATATTTTTAGTTGCCAGTCTATTATTTTTAATATGTAATCATGTAGTTAAATCAGATAACATTTTATAAATACTATCTGTTACTCACTGTATTCCAGATACAATGGTGGATTTAAATAGGGATCTCAGAATTTGCGCATACTCATAAGTCTACTCTATCTATTGTTGTTATCTGCACACAAAAACTCTCAACAAAAGCTTGTGCATTATATTCATGTACTTCAAAATACACTTTATTTGAAAACATGAATATCTAAATGTTTTTTTTTATTGGAACAACATTGAGAAATGCAAAATCTGACTCTGTATTTCTCATGTTCATAGTACACTTCAAGTGCAGATTAAGTATCTGTGTTCAGTTGGAAGACAATGTGTACTGTATGCATGTATATGAGAAGGTTTTCTCTAGTATTGTTATATGAATAGATATCCTGTACACGGATGATATTTGAGCATTTTTTTCAGAGTTTATCTGGAATGTTTGAATGGTGTCTATTCTTTATTACTGCATCTTTGAATTCATTATAGTTTGGAATAGTAGGCTTGCTACCAGCATTGTTAAAAAAAGTAGCATTGGTCCTGAGGAAATATACTAGTCATTCTCTTTTCCTTCTATCCAAGTCACATTGGTCGCAATCTCACCAGCATTTTAGCCATAGGGGAAGAATAAAGTTTTCTTCCAAAGATTTCAATCAGAGTATCGACTATTGAATAATCCAAAGTTTTTTTTTTAAATCTAACTTTATCTAATGAACGGGTGTCAAACTCACAGCATCACATTGTCATGTGATACATTGTGACGTTTTTCCCTTTGTGGAACTGGAGTGGCTGTGACATGCGCGTGATGCATCCAGTCTAGGGACTGCCAGTTGGACACCCCTGATCTAATGTATAAATGATCTACCATTTTGCACATGCATAATGTAACAACAACAATAAACCTTTAAACAAATACTGAACAAATCCCTAGCTATACAAAATTTAGTAACCTTGGTCTAGAGCAGGGCTGTCAAACTCCCGGCCCATGGGCTGGATGCCCATGCCTGGTTTAGTCAAGGGGAAAATAATATTGAAACGTCACATGACACTGCTGTGACAACATGAGTTTGACACTCCTGGTCTAGAGACTTAACTTACTTCATAAATTACAACTTTGATGAGGGGTTCTTGTTAAAACAATGTGTAACTTCGGTTCAATTAATACCACAAATCATACAATCCATCATTCAGTGGTGAAAGGCGAGGGAGAGACAAAAACATACTGGAAGGTTTTCAGCTACTTACCAGCAACTGTCCCAAGGTCAATTGATCTCGACAACCTTTATTTTCATTTCTGCAGAATATCTGAAGAGCAAGAAGCTCCCTTCGACAGCAATTATCTTTAAATATCTAGAATTAACAGACATTTAATAGTTATAATTTTAGTGATGATCTAAAAGTTTGTTACTTTGACACTAACCTGCCTGATGCAAATAACCACATTCTGATAAATGGCTCAATAAATTTCTCTTAGAGAATTAAAATATATAAACATAAATTCACATGAAATCTGAGAAAGTATTTTAGAACATTTTTTAAGAGTAAGAAATTTTTAAGGCAATTGCTATACTGCTACAAACTGACAATACAAGAACTTCTTCACTTTTCTTTACACAGCAAGATGTATTGTATAAAGTCTGAATTAGTTTGGAAAAAGACTCGTATAGTTCACATTGCATTATAAAGTACACAGTATTTGACCTGATCATTGTTTTATTGGGAGTATCTAGAAAATTATACATAAGTATAATACTTCATTTTGTAGTAAAAGGAGGAAGATGGGCAGTTCCTAAATATGATAAATAAATAAGTTAAACAAAAAATGTTGAGCTATAATTTCTGACTTCATTCCAAAAGGAGAGAAAATGAACAAATATCTCATTTTAGCCATAGAAAATTGCAATAATATTTTTTTCCATATTACATTTAAGATTGGTTGGTATAGATTTATCTTTGAACAAAAAAAGATTTACAGGTCCAAAGAAACATTCAGTAACCTTTTGGACTATCTGTATACTTCCAAGTTTTATTAATATCAACTATAATTAAGAACCATAATTCAATAGAAATTGGAAATACTACTTCTCTCCTACATGCTTATCAAAGAACTGGGTGACAAAACTAACACATCTTTCAACTCTATTCTTTTTGTATTCATGCAAGGATTAACTGCCAGATCATACACCAATGGTCCCCAACCTTTATGACTGGGTGGCCTGGCAGGGGGGGACAAGGGAACCAGCTGCCACTTTTGCAAGTTGAGCTATATGCATGCGTGCCAGTCCACTGATTGTGCAAGTAGAACTGTGTGTACACACGCATGTGTTCTGGCCAACCATTCATGTGGCTCATTTCTGAACAGGCCACTGCCTGATAGTGGGTCATGTCCCGGAGATTGAGAACCCCAGCCATAAATTATTTATATAGTTGTAGACCGATTTTGAATTGTTCAAACAATTCTCTAGGTTCATAGCTGCCATATATACAGCTGAGGTAAAGTATATTTCCCAGGACTGTCTAGCCTCTTCTTATAGGAACACATATCGACACAAAATTTATAAGGTAAGTTTAGACTAGCTATACAAAAGCAGACTTTACGTCAATGCTTACTGGTTTTAAAGTAGATTTTATGAGGCAATAAAAACATCTATAGAGTAATAAGGATCTGTCACAAGTGACTAAGGAGCAGAGAAAAGAGTAAGATAACAAGACTGCGCACTAAGCAATGTTCTATATGATAAATGCTACACAACCAACTCAATTTGAAGTCCAAGTAAAAAAGTATATAAAGGAAGAGATCTAGCAGGTAAAATCAGAATTAATATCATAGAAAAGCAGTTCAGGTACTAAAGTAATACTACAATCTCTAAAGCACCCTATTATTTTGTTATACAGTAGTAGAACATTAACATTTGGACTTGTTTCTTCATCAAAGAAACATGAGCTAAATGTAATTAACTTTCAACTGCCAGACTCTAATTTTAACTCTTCTTTAAAATGAAAAAGAGTACACATTTTCTACTAGTGCAAAATGCAGTTGGTCACATCTACTCAATGGAACTCCCAATCACCTTCTGAATATCAGCTGGAGGATATCACAGGAAATACATAATACCTTTCTTTGTATCTGCCAGTTAGTTTTCTGATAGTATTTGGTTGGCCAATATTGCAAAGAGAAAACTGAACTGCAGCCACCCCAATCTATTCTCCTCCAAATGTGTTAGAGGCAAATGCCAAGATTCCCAAGACTTCAGTTTCTGTAGAGCATATACACAGTACAAATAAGGTACCAAATGGGCAAGGATACTGGACTGTATGCTTCCTCATTTTTAATGTTTCGATATTTTCCTAATCATGTGTACATGCCATATATATATTTTATAATAAAAAGCAGTTTCCTTGTGGAAGAGCAAACATATATTTATTTTTGGAGGCCTTAGTGTTAAATGTTTTCCACCTGCTACCTCTGGGGATTGGACATTTATCTTTCGCTACCCGCATGCCTGTGTATTAATGAAGAACAGCTTCTCTTAATGGGCATTGTGAGAGGAAATGTTTGTATATGTAGATGTAGACAACTGAGTACCATTCAATGTTATAAAAGATCTCAAAAAAGGAACTTATGACCTGGAATTGAAGTTCCAATCCCCCCCCCCCCCCCCCCCCCCCCGGTTATGTGACTGCATTTTTCGCACCCAGCAACGAGCCAGCCTTTATGGCTATTTGCTGCATTTTATTGTCACGTGGCCATGATTTACTAAGTTTTTTTTTCCTGGAAACCAGCACTTCCAGTTTCTGCCCGCCCCCCCCCCAAAGCCACATAATGAACAATAGGTTTGCTTAATGCCTACTACAGAAAAGGTTGGATGCGATCACAAGGGGACCCATTTTATGTCCATCATGACTTAACAACCAAAATTGTGGGATCAATTTTGATAATAAATCAAGACTTATGGATTTATTCAAAAAGAAGTCTGTAGCCAACCTTGTTGTTATATATTTGTGTAAACCATTATAGAAATAAAATGGCAAGTACTATTTCCAGCCCACTGAATGGGTGAAGCTTTAGGGAAAACCATAGGGGGGAAACCCAGAAAATTTCAAAGAAGGTTGCTCATTCAAGAACTGCATTCATACAAACTCTGCCATTAAGAAATGCAGAGATTCATTTAGATAGCACAAAACCCTTTTCTAATTTGATCTATACAGTTAAATGGATTTTCACAATATAACCAAACCAAAGTATTGTTACACTAGTAATGGTAACAGCAGCAATGAAAAATTGCAAAATTATGGGGGTAAACTATACCTTATCCTTCACTATTGTTTCTTGACATGCTGTACATTTTGGACTTGTGGAACTAGAAGAGAAAAAAACCCCTTGATTTTAGATTATAAATTTTTATAGAGATATAATTATCGATAAAGAGAGAGAGAAATCAGAAAATGGGATGTAGAGATGAGTGCATTAATATTAATGACATTCAAATGTATGTTGACAAACAGACCAAGGAGACAGACACAAAGCAAGAGATTAGATTGGAGGAATATTACTGTTAATGTAATTGATTTATGCAATTCAGGATACATTTTTATAAACACAACTGCTTCATTGTTCTTGTGTGCCAATACATAAATCACAGGTTCTGTTTGTGAAAGTTATGGGAGCCCATAGGCCTAGGTATATCTTTCTTGGCATCTGCCAGGGTATCTTTCCACCAATTTCTACATTCTTTATTTAAAAGTAAATAAATAGGAAGCAAAACATCAACCTCAAATGCAATCTGTATTTGCAGCAATATGTTTGAGTCCCAAAGAGGTCTATTTTATTCTTGGAAAATTAAAAAGTAGAGTAGTGCTTTAGCTGAAAAACATGCCATTGGTCCAGAAAGAAAGAGAATTAAGCTGAGATGGTAGTTATCAACAGAAGAGATTAGAAGAAGTGAGAAGGAAACAATTTTACTAGTTTGCTTTCCGCTACAAAGATTTTTTTATGATTGTCGTGTCCATTTTAAAATTCTTGCATAGTGTGTGGACAACCAAGGTTTTGCCATGGTGTTTGTTTAAAATAGAGCAATAACTGTTACAATGCTACACTGAATTGCTTGTCCAGCATTTGAATGACAGCTACCAATTTTACAATTCTTTACCATTTTTAGTCAATTTGAAACCTTGTATTTTAAAAGCAACTGTTCTGCACTGGATGTATTTTTTTTCTTTGTTTGTTCCTCTGGTACAAGCACAATGCTACAAACTACATTCTGCAGCAGACTAAATAGCAGAAAGGTCTCATCGTCTTCTAGTCCGTGCTGAATCTATTCGAGCAGCTTGTTTGTTCTCTTGAACTGCTATGTCGTAGAGATTACTGAGCAGTAATCGTCACTGAAAAATCATCGGTAGTTCTTGTATTTGTATCCTCAAATGACCCAAAGAAGTACTAAAGCTTCACAGCTTCATCATTGAATACTAACATATACTCCAGAAATGGGGGGAGGTTTAAAAATCCTAAGTTTCATTTTTTTTAGTCCAGTTCATATATATAAAGAATGACTAACCTCAACAGAGAACTCATGCAGGTCTCACAATAGCGATGCCCACATTCTGTCTGTCTTGGATTACACAAAATGAGATGACATTTTTCACATTTGTATTTGTCTTCCACTGCATTCACAAATTTTTCCTTGTAACCACCTTGTTCTGGTACATAAATGGATGGGATAGGGTGGCGATCAGGATTTCCCTTCTGCTGTATTGTTTCCACTAAGACTGGTGGGTCTGCTTTCTTGCTTGCATCCATGTTGGAATTAATAAATACTATAAAGAAAACATATGTATGTTCAATAATTAAACATATTAAGAGTAAAATAAAGCATAATCTTTTATGCATACAATTCTTATGAAAATGAATGCACAGATCATGCTTGCATTTGCTTGAAATCATATTACTCCCTCCCATGGACCAATCCATGGATAAGGCTTAATCCTCAATGATTCAAGTAACCACCTATCACCTTAAACTTAGTATTTTTCAATTGAGTTCATTCATACCAACCTGTTGAAATATAATTTCTAGTAGGCATAGTGAATACCAATATTTTTTTCAGCTTCTTCATCCTTACAGCTCCTAAGTATTAGGGTCATTAATAGTCACAGAGAGGAGCAATGCTCTCACTAATCTTGTATATCTGCACAAAGAATAAATCAATGAAATTAAGGAACTGGAACATTTTAGCTCTCAGTTAACTATATGTGTAACCTGGTTACCTCTTGTTTATATTTGTGCAAAAGTTTAATCCTTTCCTTTTGTCCTATTTCTGCACTTCATCAACTCAAAATATCTTAAGTCTTGGATCAAACTAGCCAGCTCCTCAAAGGCAACATAGTGGTATTTTCTTATAACTGGCAGCTAAAGAACATATATTACATCTGCTGTCATCTCATCCTTCTCAACAGCATTAGGTTATCTTTCCCAACTGTACTTTAAATCACATTTCAGGGTGAGGGGATAGACACAACAAATATATCCCTTATGACTTCAAGTTTCTTGATTTTTATTGTCTTTCTTGAAATTCACATGAATTATTTCTGCCACCAAGTTTAGAATGATTCATCTACTCTCTCTTTCTAACTAGTTTCAACATTTTGAATAAAGTTGCAGTGACAATGAGCACATGTTCCACAAAGTCAGAGTTAACATCAGTAGTATTTAATCCTTCTGTCCTCTTAGTAAAAACAAAAGGGGAAACTAATGTATCCACAACTTTTCTTCAGACATGTCAGATGTCTTATTTTGTAGTACAACCATAAGTACATTCAAAACAATATTTGCTACATCGAATATGTACACAACAGTTCTCAGTTCTGTAAAACCAGCTGTAAATATGCTTTCTGTTAAATTGTTTTCTGATTTTTGGCAAATCTATGGACCAAATCTCTCCATATTTCCCAATCTTGTATGGCTGCTTTCAACTGTTTTATGCTCTGGTATTAGCTTTGATGGTGTCTAGCTATGCTTTTGGCAGCTTGTTTTCTTTTACCACCGACTATTCTGAGCATAACTGTATTTTCCAATGAATTGTGTAACAATAAGTAAGATGGGATTTTGTGATTTTGCTTTCTAGTGAGATGTCTGATTTTATACTCCTGCTGCCCCTGTACTTGTTCGTCACCTTTCTGTCCAAGGAATGTACAGGAACATCTCCAACATTATAGCTTGACTGAGTCGAATTTCCTGTCTAATTTTTCATGATCCAACTTTCACAACAATAAGTAATTATGGAGCACACAATAGTGCATATTAATCTGCATTTATTTGCCAGCCTGATGTCCTTGCTTTTCCATACTCAATTTATATTCATCAATGTTGGGTGACACAATGCAATTATATACTTTATTTCTGGACTTCATTCTCTACTTTGATCAATCTGTGATCCTAGGAACGTGAATTCTTGCATACATTCAATCTCTTCACTGTCAGTTGTTATTTACACATTTCTAGTTTTTATAGTGGTCGTGAGTTTAGTCTTTTTTATGTTCAGGAAGAGCATAAGAGCATCAGCAAATGTCTTGCTTTCTTCTTTAATCTTTTTGGCCAAATATTCCAGCCCTTCTTTGGTTTCTGAGGATATTATTATGTTTAGCATATTAAAGATTGTTTATGCTCCTTCCTCCAATCTTTACTCCAATTTCTGATTCTTCAAGTTCCAGCTTCATCATGATCACTTTGGCATATAGGTTGAATAAAAAAGGTGGAAAAAATGCAATCTTGCAGCACCCCTTCCTCTTTCTTGAACCAGTCAGTGTGACCAAATGATAGCCACACAATGACTTCCTGATTTGTATTCAGCAATTGCACCAACTTTATCAGATGTGATGGCACCCCAGATCTTCTAGGGCTCTCCACAGCTTGTCATGATCAACACAATCAAAGGCTTTCTTTTAGTCAATAAAGCAGGTGTAGATATTCTTTTGATATTTAGATTTTTTTCATGTTCCAGCACAGATTTGCAATATTGATACTGAAACCTGAATTAGCTTTAGCTAATTCCCTTTTGATGGTCTGATCATTTCCAAAACTGTGGCCATGTGTTCATTTCCCAAATTTCCTGGCACAAAGCTATGATGGATATGGATAGTGCAGGCCTCAGCAATTCTGAAGGGATGGTTCAATACCTTGGGCCGTCTTGTTTGGCAACTGGTTCATTGCCCACACGACTTCTTCCTAAAGGATGGTTGGTCCTATTTCTGCTTCTCTTTCTTCATCATCCTTGGGAGGTTGAGTCTCTTTGTTGCAGGCATAAAGCTCTATATTCTCATCATCTATTCTTGACACCTTGGTGAGACTGGAAATTGGTAGAAATTACCATGAACACCCTTTCTATCTATGCTGCAAGAGAGCCCAGGATGGGTTGACTCCTTCCTATGACATCATTTAGCTGAGTCTGTGCTAAGATATAAAAGCCAGCCCCCGGGAGAGACCCCAGCTTTGGCGAAGATACTTGACAGACTGAAAGGTGTCTCTGAAAGCACAAAATGAATATAGAAATACATCTTACCCTCTCCAGATGAATCAAGGGAGGGGATGGGCTCTCTTGCAGCATAGATAGAAAGGGTGTTCACGGTAACTTCTACCAACGCCCACTCTCCTCCATGCTGCATCGAGAGCCCAGGATGGGACACACCAAAGCTTGCATGTCCATAGGCGGGTCCTCGTCTGGCTCATCACACCGACTGTGGAACCACTTGTTGAAGCATCCGTCTGCCGAAGGCTGCAGTCGCCGAGGCAAAGGCATCCAGATGGTAGTGTCTGATGAAAGGAGAATGGGATGTCCACGTGGCCGCACAACAGATCTCCTCCAAGGATGCTTGGGTCGCCCAGGCAGCAAAAGTGGCCGCGCTTCTGGTAGAGCGCGCCGTCAGACCTCAGGGAACTGGAAGGGCCGCAGCTTTGTAGGCCTGCTCAATGCAAGATCTGACCCACCTGCTAATAGTAGGAGAAGAGGCCTTGTGCCCCAAGTGAGAAGGGAAAAAGAAAACAAACATGGCTTCCGACTTCCTGAAGGAGGAAATGCACTTAATGTATATTCTAAGAGCTCTTCTTACGTCTAGCGTGTGCCACTGCTGCTCTAAGTCATGGTGAGGGAGAGAACAGAAGTCAGGCAACACAATGTCCTGGGACCTGTGAAACCAGGTGTTAACCTTCGGAATAAATGAGGGGTCCAGACGGAGAACAACCCTATCATAGTGAAAGGAACAAAGATCCTGTCTGATAGAAAGAGCAGCAAAGTCGGAAACCCTCCAGGCAGAAGTGCTGGAAACAAGGAACACTACCTTCAGAGTCAGGAAACAGAGAGACACTGTTCTAAGGAGTTCAAAGGGGGGCTTTATAAGGGCATTAAGGACCATATGAAGGTCCCTGGAAGGATACCTATGAACCACTGGTGGGTGGAGGTTGGAAGCCCCTTTCAAAAGCCTCCTGACTGAAGGGTGATGGGATAAGGAAGGAAACGAACCCCATGAAAGAACCGAGGAGAGGGCCGCAACCTGCCTGCTATCTGGCCCTGCATATGGGAACCCCAACCCAGGAGGCTGGTATCAGTGGTTATCACTAGCCTGTCTGGGTCCCTGAACAGGAGTCCCCTCCAGATAGATGGAGAATGTCACCAATTGAGAGATCTCCGGATTTGTGGCGGGAGTAGGACCTTGATGGATGAGTGGCTGGTTCCTGCTTGTTGGTAGGGAAGCAGGAACCATTGGAGGGCTCAGGAGTGGAGCCGGGATGATGCCAATACAAGAAACCATCTTCCCCAGAAGTTTGGACAGCAGCGACAGGGGGACAATTTGATATTGCTGGATCTGGCTGATGATCTCTGCAAGGCTTTTTCCACGAGCTGGGGAAAGGAAAACCTGGCATGACATGGTATCGATGACTGCTCCCAAGTGTTGCAATTTGGTTGTGGGAGAGAGCTGGCTCTTTTTGGTGTGGATGGAAAATCCGTGGCTCTGGAGATATGACAGGGTAATTTGCAGATCCCGATGAGCTGCATGGATGGAAGAGGACAGAATCAAAATGTCGCCCAAGTAGCATTGGATCCTCACTGGAACAGAACGCAGAGATGCCATCAATGCTGCCAGAACCTTTGTGAAGACCCTTGGAGCCAATGAGAGGCTGAAGGGAAGTGCTCAATATTGGTAATGGAGAAACTGGCAATGATGAGGCCAAATTGGGATGTGGAGGTAAACCTCAGTGAGATCAATGGAAGAGAGGAGGTTGTCCTCCCGAATGCTCTCTAAAATAGAATACAGAGTCTGCATTTTAAATTGCCTGTATTTGACAAATTGGTTGAGAAATGTTAGATCAAGAATGGCTAGCCACCACCATCCCCCGAGGCTTTGGGAACGATGAAAAGGCACGAGTAAAGCCCATGTCCCGGTTGAGAGGGGGGAACAGGTTGAATAGCCCTGATTTCAAGAAGGTGCTGAATGGCCTGATTCATGAGGGCTTGCCTGGAAATGTCCTGAGAGACAGGACAGATCAAAAAAATTTCTGGGGGTAGCATTAGGAAGTTCAATTGTAAACCTGACCTAATAGTGCTGAGCACCCAGGCATCCGTCGTTGACTCCTCCCATTTGGAGGCAAAGAAGGCTAGCCGACCTCCGATGGGTAGGGAGAATGAGGGATTACTTAGAGCGATGGAAGGAACGATCACCTCCCCCCGGAAAGGGCCGTTTACCAGTAGAAGGTTGTTGCCTGCCAGATACTTCTGCACGTTGATCTTGGCATTGGGAGTACAGCCTCTGAGAGCGGGGGAAGC